CCAAGGTCTCTCTTGGGTGTCTGGAGAGAGGAGAGTCAGGGAAAGGGAGAAAGGGGAGGGTGGGGGAGACAGAGAGGAGAGAATGGAGGGAGGGCGCTTCTTCTGGCTGCTGTGAGGACACTAACCCTCTGGGTCAGGGACCTCACTCACAACCTCACTTGCTTCCTTCTCTATCTCCAAATACAGTCAAATGTGTTAAGGGACACAACTCAGTTCCTACCAAAAGTGACACCAGATTATACCTGAAGGGACAGATGCTCAGGAACAAATTTAAAACCTAGCTCCTGAAGCCATTCAGGGTCTCCAGCATGCTTCTCTAACCATATTCCTTTTCCTTCCCTTCTAGAGAGGAAAGGCTTCATCATGTCTGTGGTTGAGTATCTCTGGGACACATGGAGCACAGTGGCCCTGCAGCTCCTGGCGACCATAGACGGATTCGGAAAACAACTTGTGGAAAGAGCTGGTCTGTCCAGTTTCTCTCCATTTAAGTTGATGTTGGCTGTCGGCATGTTGTTGATTGTTTATATTATATTTAGGTATGTTTCTTGTATCCATGATCTTTGTAAAGCCTTATCATGAAAGGGGGTGGATTTTGCCAAAGGCTTTGTTCAGCATCTAAGAAGATGATCATGTGGTGTTTTCTTGGAGTCTGTTTATATTGTAGATTGCATTGACAGACTTTCTTACATGAAACATTAAGTAAGAGATGAATTTTTCTTGTTCATGATGAATGATTTTTTAAGTGTTTTAAGAAGAAATTGGATCACTAGACCCAGACTCAGGAGTTAAGAGCCCTAGGTGCCCCTCCAGGTGGCTGACATCCAGTTCTCAGCATCCTCATGATGGCTCACAACTGTCTGTAACTCTGGGTCTAGTGATCCAATTTCTTCTTCTGCCCTCCATGACACCAGGACTGCACATGGTACACACACACACCTGCAGGCAAAACAGTCAAACAAATAAAATAAAAAATTTAAAGGACAGAGTAATATGGTTTTTAACTCATCGTGTCCTTAACAAATAATTGTGTGGTGGATCCAACCTGCCCATCAATGCAAGAACGACATTGTACAGCTGTAAGACTCTCCTCCGTTTCATTCCCAGCAGATGCTCTGATTGCCACTGGACAGATCTTTGCAAACTCTCTTCCTCACTCTGTTAGTTGGTCTCTCCCTTTACAGGAAAGTGAAAGATGCCTCACGTGAGAAGGGAAGGTTTCTGGAAGTTTACCCTCAGATGAAACGGGAGCTTGAGGAGAGCATCAGGAAGCTCCACGCCCTTGCAGACAAGATTGACAAGGTGCACAGGGGCTGCTCCACCGCACAAATGGTGGCCAAGTCCACCGGTGCTGCGTCTGGATTCCTGACAGTCCTTGGTATCGCTCTGGCACCTGTGTCAGCAGGATTCAGTCTGGGACTTTCAGCCACAGGCTTGGGGCTTGGGGCAGCAGCAGCTGTGACAAGTGTTTCCACAACCATTGTGGAAAAGGTAAGCACAGCATCAGTAGAAGCTGAAGCTAGACAGCTTCTGACAAGGAGCAACGACACTGAGAACGACATTAAAAGCAACAATACTGAGAAGGACATTACAGAATCGTTGGAGAAGATCACCACTGGGCTTGTTTCTGTATCTAAGCAATTTGTTAACACTGTGGATGACATAAAGAAGAATATTGATGCCATCAAGCTGACCAAAGCCAACCCTCGCCTAGCAAATAAAGCTAAGCGTCTAATGACCACAGGGAAGGTGTCAGCCAAAAGCACGAAAGAGGTGAAGAAAGCCTTTGGAGGCACTGCGCTGGCAATGACCAAAAACGACCGGATCTTTGCTGCAGCCACTGCAAGTCACTCCCTAGCACTAGATATAATTAGCATCATAGAAGACACAAAGCATTTGCAGGAGGGTGCACAGTTTGCTGGAAAGCTGCGGCAGAAGGCTCAGGAACTGGAGAAGAAGTTGCAGGAGCTCATCCGGGTTCATGACAGCCTGACTCAGTGACCCCTTCTTCAGTGCAGCTCGGAGGACTGGGGGTGGGGTGTGCTGGACAGAGCCATGGACACTTGATGGTTCTGAATGTATCCCCTTTATAACAATACCACGATGGTGGTAGTGCCTGTTAGAGGAGAGGCCACATCAAGAGAAAGGAAACCAGAACACAGAACACAGATGGGACAGGCTTGTTACCTCCCACTAGACTCCACCTCCCTCTTAGATCTCACAACCTCCAGCATCCCACATAAGGACCACGCTCCCAAGCTGGGAAGAACATCCAAGGCCTGACTAAGCCACAGCATGGCTGTTCCCCAGTCACACCCACCACACTGCTCCCAACAGAGGCTCACTATCCTCACAGGTCCCTGAGCTGCCAACTTTCCCACTGCTTTCTGATTGCTTGCATAGAGACCTTTTCCTTCTTCCTAGTTTTGCCTCATT